GCCATAACAAGGATTTTATTAGACAAGCACTGAATAATCTGTGTCACATTGCAGAAGCTAATATAGACAACCTTGGTTTGTAAGGCTAGACAAGGAATACGGCAAGCAGCACATTTGGGATCAACTTCTTCCCTCCTCTTCCTCAGTCTGGCTGTATAGAAAAGTACTTGAAGAATCTTGGCCTAAAGATCACTCTCTTCAGAGTAACACAGCTGACTAGAACATTGATTCAATTCACCTGCCAGAAGGCTTATAGACAGAACATGGTCAGCAGCATATCCAGGATGGCCTTGTCCATTGCCATAACTTCTGGCCACCAAGATCAGTTAAACCAGTTAGCTAGTGCAGAAGGAATTTCAATCTTTGTGTATGGACTGGCTGGCTATTAATTAATCCATGTGGGCTCACCTGAAGAAGTTGTACTGTGATAGATGCTACTTAAACAAAAAACATAAGAGTTATTAGGCCTTAGATAACCAATTTACAGCTGCAAATCACATGTACTTCAGTGCAGCAAAGGCCTACAAATTAAAACTATTTTAACTGTGAAATTGCTGAGAAACATGACTGCAAAATAACATTCTTACAAGCAAAGTGCCTGTAGCCCAGAGAGGTAGCAAAGGTCTGCCCTGGACCCCCATGGTAGCATATATAGAAAGCAAAACCAGGAGGACATCCAAACACAGCATCTAGAGATTCAGCTATGCTATTCATTTGAATTACTGGAGCTTAAACACATGAAAAAGGTAATTAGCTAAGAAAACATGGCAGGAGATAATCACTAAGAATACACAAGGCAACGTATATGTAACTGATAAATAAATTGGCATGTAAAGGAAGTCATAGTTTAGATACAAGATGCAGGACCTCCAGACCCAACAGCATACCACCTGTACAGCAGTACATTGCTCCACTTGTTACTTACAATACTATCCCAAATAAGGTTTTGTCTCATAAACCCACTGCATAGCCACTACGCGCTATGCTACAGCCAACTGAATTTGGTCCCTGAAAGAGACAGGATTAGAATGACTCAGTTAACCATGATTAGTGGATGAGCAAGTGCACCCTAAATTATCAGTAGGGAGGCTGGGTTGCTGGTGTGTCAGTGCTCCCTGATATCTTAATAGCAGCCAGCAGGACTTACAAAGTATTGCTTCACGTCGTAATTATCTCATTCTACTGCAAGCTGCCACTGAAAAAGTCAGTCTCATTACTTCTTTTCCTCTCTATCCCCACTGCTCTTTTCTCATGTCTCTCTTGCATCAGATCAAGCCACTGTACTGCCACAGTAAGTCCCAAGTTAGCTCACAAGGGGGTGGGGAGGATAGACTAGAGAGGGAAAACGTACCCCCATCAAGCTTAGCCAAGATCACCCTGCAGCCACACAATTGCTGCACCCGAGGCATGGAAAAGGCAGGAACACATCAGCCAGGTTGGACAATAACAGCAGAACTCACCTTTCTGGCAGCAACCCACAATTTGACTGTATAAGATACACATACCTCCCAAATCAGTCCCTAAAATAAGTGGACAAAACTAGATATACAGCTTTGTTGCCTTGGACTGATAAATACCACACCTCAGATGAGCTAACAGGCATCAGTAAGTTTGCTCCAGTGCTGCTGATCTGCCTGGCACGCTGGAAGACTCCAGGGCAGAATGCCAGGAGTCGATTTAACTTCAAAGTAGTGGCTTGGGCCTCTTGGACAAGAACCTGTTCCTGTCAAGTTGAAAAACTCTCTATATAAACAGGCTCCAAACAGTTACTAGACATCTCCTTAACTTTGAATTCTGCTTCCATCATTTTTGGTCCATTAGAGCAAAGCCCAGTGTTGTTCACTTTCTAGACAAATAAAACTTTTGAAGAAGTAGGGGAAACACAGATACAGAAAAAGATCAGAAAAGTCTTAGTTTGAGATAAGCAACATGGACAAATGCATAGTAATGTTTCCTCTCCAAATATGAGGAGACATCCAACTTTTCCTATGACTTATTTTGATATGATCAATCAATCATTTAGGTTCAAAAAGACCTTTAAGATCATCGAGTCCAAATGATGATCCTAATGACCACTGCATTAAAGTAAGGGTTCTTACTTCAACTCTCTTCCTCAGTTTCTTTTCTTTACATATGGAGAAGAAGGAAATAAACTTTTCCTTGGCCCAGCCACAATCTTCATTCGACAACTTCAGAAAATTACAGAACACATAACCCCTGCGCATCTGGGCCCATTCAATAAACATTCTGACAAAATAAGAATCAATTCCCTCCTCAATTCCAAGTGAAGACATTTCTTTTTTTTCTTGTGAAAAGTACAGTGAAACCACTTCTTGTTTCCATTAAAAAAAAAAAAAATTAAGGTCACCAACAGAATGCTGAAGTACTTTAAACAGCTTCATTCCAGTAACACAGGCACAAGCTTTCCATCACACAGTAGTCTGGGTGATCAGGTCACTACTCCACAAAGAGCAAGAGAATTCAAGCAAGTCCAAAACTCTGCCTAAATCTTCCAAAACTTGCAAGACATAGGTGTGGCAAGTGAGAAATGGAGGAGTTTGTTTTGTTTTTTTTTGTTATATGCACCAGGACACCCCCCTATCCCAAGCCAGGATAAAAGTTCTATCTAGCCTGGTAGCTGTCTGAATGTAAGCTCATGTCAAGTAAACAGCAATACTTGTCTGCTTCACCTTCCCAGATATTTGAAGCACATCGATTCTCTGCTCCAGCCATTAAATATTTGCATTTACCCACAGTCATTTTTTCCTGGTCTTATTCAATTGCCTTTTGAAAACAAACTTAGCATCTATAAGATCTTCTATAACTATACAGTGGACCTCAACATCACGTGTAGAGAAAAAATTTTTGCTTTGGATCTCCTAACACAAGTGATCTCTTGTTGTGTAATAAACAGTAAGATATAGGCATATCTTGTCACCATGTCTCTCCCTCCAGGTACCTCTTCTCAACACAGAAGTATCCTAATCCATTTAATATCTCCTTCTAAAGAAGTATTCTTTACTTCTGATCACCCTTGTCCCCTTTCTCTAACTTCCATAGTTCTGTTACTTCCTTGGTATTATTGTAATCTTTGGCAACCACTTTGCTTGTTCCATTATTTCTAAACATTTAAGCTGAAGTGATTATGAACCTGTATATGAAGACTTTGCTTCCCCCACCAAGCCAAATATATCTCTTCACATTTACTTATGCTTATTTTCTTCAGTCAGACACTCAGTACCACAAAGCGTTTCAAGTCTTGCCCTGTTTTAACTAGTAGGAATATAACCTCTCTCATCAGTATTTCTACCCTCTTTCCCGAAGAGGATAGCACAGACCCACATAGTATTCCCCAAATGGCCATTTACTCACACCCTCTTTTTCATATTTAAACCAACTACCCATCTATGACAGAACTACCCATTTACTCCACCACAGGAGCCTCTGGTGTAGAAGTCTGTCCATAAACCTTTCAGTACGAAGCACATCCAGACCAACTTTACACCAACCAGCATTATTTGTGTGCCCAACAACTCCTTTATAGAACTCTACCAGCCACGCACTGCATAACTTGCCTTTACAAAAAGTATGTTAACTTTACCCTCATTACATGTAACCAGGTATTTATTGATTATTCTATTTCTTATAAGAAAATTTATGCTATTTAATCATATCAACTTTAACCACAATCAGCAGTAGAAGAGTTAGTTTGTCTCATCCTCGGTATGCATTTGCCCTGAGACTCAAACATCTTCCCCTCAAATCTCTAATATCTCTGCTATGTCAATATCCTAAAATTTATATAAGAGAAACTATATTGCCTGATTTATTTAATATAAATACAAAATATAAATTTTAAATAAAAAATTCTAGCATTTTTTATTGATGCAAACACAAGTTTGCTCCTTATTTTTCTGAATAAGTGGGACTTTTTGTTGTTGTTGTTTTAAATTCTAGACTAGCTTGCATTTCTCGTTGGAGCTATGACCCTTGGATAATATACAACTGTAAGGACACCAGTTCTAAAGGTTGCAGGAATTCTAGCAGTCTCCCATTGGTTTTGGCTCCTCCCGTCATCAGTTCAACATTACAGCAGCCCTGATGCAAGCCACCTTTCCCAAAGAGGCACTCTCTAGTCATCACCCTCATTTCCTAATAAATCTAATCCTATTTTCCTTTACATCTTACTTTCTAAGCCTAAAGATTGTTTTTCTCTCCTTTTTTTTTCCCCTCTCTGCTCCCAAGTATGCTGCAAGGAACATTTCAGAGCATGTTGACAAAATGTACAAGAGCTAGCAAGTAGAGGGTCACCTCACAGTACTTGGTAAAATGCATGCCTTCTGTTACAGCCCACTACTGAAAACAATGGACTCAAAGGAACTCAAGATTATTTGACATCTACAACAAAACATTTTTCAGAGAAACTGTTTCTTAAGTAGAACTAACAAAGCCTGTTTCCTACAGGTTTGCATCCTCCTCTACATTACTGCTGTTATAAGCCCGTTAAGGCTCTTCCACACAACCCTCCATTTTGGTTCCCTCCCATGTTGCTTAATTGGCATCCCTTCCCCTTCTTATTCCTTAAGTAATGCCAATTACTTCTCATGCTTCCTAATTACTGAATGGAATCAAGATAATTCTATGCCTGTTTTCAAACCATGCAGGTACTAAGTGGCCTGCTGACAGACTCTGAGATGGAAGGGGTAGGGGGAAGAAGGCGCACAGTTTTGCCTTGTACAAAGCAGTAATTTTCAAGAAATTTACAGGATCTTCATATTTCAAAATGCATTTCCTTTGGCTGATGATCACTCCACAGAGGAACGGACAAACAGATAATCAGAGCAACTGCACAACCTTGTTTCCTGGGGAACCAAGGCACAGATACGCCCCTTGGCATCAGCCAAGATCCTGTCTCGTAACTCTGACTTTTATTCTGGCTTCCAGTCTTAATTCACAGTTTAATTTTAATAAGTGTTATACATTTTTTGAAAAAAACTCACCGTTTTATTACGAAGTCTAATTATGTCCGAAACAGAGCCAGCTCCACAATATTCCATAACAATCCATAGATCTGTGTTCTTAAAATAGCTGCCATAGTACTTGACAACATAGGGACTAGATGGAAAAAAAAAGTTAGATAAATAAATGAATTCTTAGTAGGGAAAGGAAAACAATCATCATCACAAGTGTCATTAAAAATTACAGTTTGACACACACTAACACAGCTAAAGAGCAACCGTCATCAAATACATTTTAAAACTGTAATTAGCTTAACCAATGCCTTGTTGGAATGAAGTCTGACTGCTTAATAAAATTATAAAGGCACTACTACATATCTCACAAGCTTTCAGTGATCTACAAATACAGACAGTTTTCTCAAACATTAGTCTTCTGAAACAAAGCTTTGTTTTTCCCTCCTCCAAGGCCTCTCTTAACTCTCCTCACAAAGTTTTTGGATATTTCCCTTCTTGAAAAGATTGCCTTGTTTTCTTCTCTCCTGAGCAAGAAACCATGGAAACTCACCCATTTTTTCCTGGTTTTGCAAGCATGAACTTATTTCAAGTACAGATCTAGACTTCCATAAGAAACAGAATCTAGCGTTGGTTTGAACAAGACTTCTGGATTTGCAAATTCATTTTCATATTGAAGTGTCTCATGTGAAGAGGTAGTACAGTCATAAACAGAACATATTGCTTTGCTACTCATGAGTTTGTCACTTGACATAATGCTTTGTCGGAGGCACTTGCAAAAGAAAGGCAGAAACAGATATGGTAAACATAACAAGGATCTTCCTTTGGAAAAGTGATTATGTGGTGTATTTATGGAAATAAAAGGTTGGAGGGTTTTTTGCAGGAACTTAAGCAAAGAAGATTGTGGGAGATAAATGGCAATCTAACTGTAAAGTCAGGAAGCAAGACACTGAGATCTCAGCCAGGGGCTTGTGGTCAGAACACCTGCATTGTGAGGTAGAATCAAACGCTATTTTGTTTTGGAGCAAAAAACTGTATTTTAGGAACAGCATGTTTGGCAGCAACACTTTTTGTTAGAAAACTGATGTAAAAAAAAAAAACAGGACCTATGGCTGCCACCTGCAACATGATGCTATTTTTATAAAAGATGGTCAAAACTATCAGCAAACTGCTTCATTAAAGAGCGGCTATTAGTACTATAGGAATGTGCCTTTACAGAAGGCAAGGTGGGTCAATTCCCTCCTAACTAGTCAAAATGTCTACCAAACAAGCATGACATACTGATCTCACCCCTTATAAATTCCTAAAGTGAGGAAGGCTACTATTACTTCTGAAGAAAACCCACTGATTTTCATGACCATCTCTCACCAGATTTACACTATGCTAGTAATCCCAGCAAAAATGGTGTATTATTACAAATCAGGACAAGATAATATTTTCAGAACATCGAGTGCTGTGCAATCCCAAAACACTGTTCACATTTGCTTAAAGCCTTGTCCCAGTTAACTACATGGGCCAGCCTTTTCCATATCAACTGCTTGTCTTAGAATCTACATTTTTTTCCCTTAGAAGAGCTTCAGCACATACAGTGTAACTAGTTACAGAAACAGGCATGGAGAAGAAAGGATAAAATGTTAAGATTTAATAATCTTTTACTTGAGATGCTGCAACAGCCTAGTGCTTTTCTGTAATATCTGTGGAATCATCAAATGTGAAAATAAAATACTTAAAAGTGCATCATCCCTCCCATCAGTACTGCACAGCACTGTATTTGCGCAAAGGCACACAACACATACAAGCACATGGCGCAGAGCTGCAGCCCAACCCTTCTTTTCAACCGGAGGATGGCTGCATCTTGTCCAGTGAAGGAAGAGTTTGTGCTCTAAAATTCTGAGCTCTTACTCTTAAAAAAAAAAAAAAGTTATACAATAGTACATGTCCAGTAGATACGAAATACAACACGTTGTTCAAAGAAAAGCAGGAAACAAAGAACAAGGACAGAGAAAAGGGAGGCAGGACAGGGGATGCAGGAATAAGACGGTGAGTAGGCCCACCTAGGATGAGAATGAAAATGGCACACGAAGCAGAATACAGAAAGTAAGGTGAAAAATGTAGAAGAATCTCAAGTATCACCACTTCTTTCCTCTGTCAGTATATTTCACAGACATTTGTTTTAAGTATCTATTTCAATTCCGGTCTAGTACTAAGAGACAGACACACACTACAACCTACACACTGCTTCCAGTCAGCTCACATGGCTCAAGCCTACACAGTGACTAAGGGCTGCTATCCTATCACCAACCGCACAGAAGAACTCTGAGAATTCATTAGGTGCTATTTTCCATCTTATTCAATGTCTTCCTTTATGTAAGGGGAACGAAATTAAGCAGGAGTTGTGAAAAGAATTAAAAGCACAGCAACAAGAATAATCAAAGTAAACACATTTTAACTCCTCTCCCAGTGCACAGGAAGAGCTGAGGACCTACTCTGGGGATCAAATCTAGTTTCACAGTTAAGCAGACAAACAAGATTGCTGCTTCCTCTTTAATCTGTACCTGTTACAAAACTCCAACTGGACAGACAGACAAAAATAGTTTCATGGGGACAAAAAACAATTAACAGCAGCCCAAAAAAAAAAAAAAAACCTCAGGGGTCCCAAATCCTTTTAGTATTACCTGAAATAACCATAACACACATCTTCATGGAATGTGGGAAAACACATAAATCCTTCCTTTTCCTCCCATTCCGCTGCCTACACATTTAACAAGCTTCTAGCATTCAGAGCAGTCAATGCCAGAAGGGAATGGATTACAAGGTCCAAAGTGTTCACAGGTCACAAATACTCAGATCAGGGCTTGCAGGCAGAGGTTCTAAAGAAGTCTGAAGAACAGTTGCATTCTCATGTGCTAGATATAACGTACTCTGAGGTCTCTATCCCTATATTTAAGGATAAATATTTGAACCTTCTCTCCTCCTTCATGACCCCATAGACAAGCTGCTGTGGAGCAGTACAATCAAGCCCCATGTAACACCTGAGCAAAACATTCAGCAATAAATCTGAATGAATTCAGACTGCATGAAAAGGATTATCTTTAAATCTGGGATGAGTACTGCTCATTGCCAAACAAGAGCAAATATTTCATTTAAAGACAGAACTTCAACATTGACACACCACAAAAGCACAAACACAAGTGAGAAATAACAGACCACTTGCTATAATACAATTCACCAAGTTAATGACTAAAGCAATCAATATTTTAAAGAAGGTTTTGCCTAACCAGAGTGCAAAGCTTTCCCATTTGTTTTTTCCCGAATCACAAACAATAGATTCTTGTACCACTGATCAGACACGACTAAAGACTCACCCTAGCAAATCTGACTTTGAGTTACAGACAAAACCTTAAAATATTATCGCCAAAAATATTCAAATAAAAAATTGTTAACTCCATAGAAGAAAGGAAATGCAAAATTCTGCATCCCTGCTGACACCTGACGTTAAGACCTCCGTTCCTACAATACTAGCAATCATAAGATATATCATTTGCGAACAGGTGTAAGCTAACATTTCTTCTTCAGAACTATTACAAGATTGTTCACTTTATAAAAGGTATGTTCCTGCCTGAAAAAGGCAACTGATAGAATCCCATTTTGGAAGTTAACTGCTAGCCATTAATCTTGTGCTAGAAACATCTTTATCGATCTTCTGAAACAGGTAACTCCGAATTCACAAGGCCTAAGACCTTTGCAGGAACCATTAACCTTCCAGCTTGTCAGTGCAAGTAAATTGAAGCAACCATGGAAAATTCTAAGCGGAGGCAAGCACTTATTCTTTCAACAGTTTGTTACGTACACTATTTGTACTTCCTTCAATCCGAGCTAAGCATAGAAGGAGGTCTGCAAAGTGGTTCCTTTAAGTAAATTGTCCAACACAGACTGTTTTAACTTTCCATATAAAAAAAAAGTTTGCAGCTGCATATATTTCAGCTATACTCACAAGTACAAATACATTTTCACATAGACTCTTAGAAAGGGAGCAGAATTGTCATACCTACCTGTCACATTGTTGCATTATAGAGATTTCTTTAATTATCTCTTGGAGATCTGACTCCACAGGCACCTGTTTAATTGCTACAACTTGTCCAGACTCTTTGTGTATTGCTTTAAAGACGCTACCATAAGACCTAAAAATAAAAGAGGGAATTTTTTTTCTTAAACAAGATAAACTGCATCTCATTTCCATTATGCAGAAACTTTAAAAAGTCACAGAAGCCATATGTTCATGCAGAAGTTTGAGGGTTTTATCAGGCTGCAAAAAAATTCAGTTCTGTCAGGACCCCAGAAAAGACTTGCCTCTGAAGAACGAATCTTTGTCAAGATGTAGTGCATCTAACTTCAGTACAGGCATAGGCACCTTTGCTGCCTTAATAAACAAGGGATATCAAAAATGAATAAATATATCTGGGGAAGCATGGAAGTCTACTGATGCATACATTTGCTTTATTATTAAAACTTGTCTAGAGAAGCATTCCTTAGGACATTTACAGTCACTCTCTCTGTAACTTAATATTCCAACACATGCTTTATATACTGTTTCCCTCTGATACCATCCCCTTGTAAATAGCTGCACTTACCCTTCACCAAGTTTCTCCAGAACATCAAAGACTTCTTCAGGCTGCTTAGTTAAACTATCTTCACTTAGCTTTTTCAGTTTGCTAAAAGAAAGACAAAAGTTATTTGTTCGTTTGTTTGTTTGGGGGGGAAGACACAGAACTCGAGCAAATTTTCATACAAGTGAGCAGACAGAAGAAAAAAAAGATTATAAAGAAAAATATATTCCAATGAAAATAAAATGCCTAATTAAACACAGTAATAAAATTTTAATCAACCATCATATAAGATGGAGAAAGTTATGACAATTTTTGTCATTATCCCTTTCCCATTAATGTTTGCTCAATTCAAAACAGCATGTGACCAATTCACTGTCCAAACCACTTCCTTTGCTAAAGTAGAAACAGCCAAAGGATACAGTAAAGCTCACCTTTCATCGAAAAGCACCCAGCATGCAAACACATGCTCATTACTGCCTAGAGTATGCCATGTTGTTATCCAAGAAAATATAAACCAATCCTTCACTGACATGAAGTATCCATACCACTCATAAGCCAATGAATTACATCAAGTTAAAAGAAGAACCCAAAGTCAAGATGACTCTGGGAGCATATGGTAGCACTTCACCTACACAGGTGGTAGCAGAACATTGAACTTCCAAGAGTTGAGTACTCTAAGAGTTGTTGGGGCAGTCCCTTTTGCACCTTTGTGAATGTACATAGGGACAGGTGCAACAAAATCTCTAATTACATAACACCACCATATTCTGCCCTCCAGTTCTCTCTCACAGTCTCAAATCACTCAGTATCACCCAACAATTTCTCCCAGCACCCTCAACCCACTCTTACCACTATCCTTTGTCCTTTTCAAGCAGTCCTAGCCTTTCCCTGGTCTCCAGCATTCCCACCCACCCAGTCCCCCAGACTCCTAGCAGATCTCAGAACACAACTTGGCTACAGACTTGCAATGGAGCCGACACTGAACATAGCACAGGAAAATATAGCCACACACACCTTGTGGTGAGGCCAGGCGGCTGCAATATGCAAATCCTTCACCCCAAAAGTTATAGGGAATTTTGCTGCAAGATTGAAATAAGTTAACACTATATGATAGTCAAGGGTACTATTGAAGTAGAAGATGAGCTAAAGAATAGCTGGTGCTGTAGTGTTAGATATAGATAATATATTCCATATGCAGGAGGAGGAAAAAGAGAAAAAAAGAAACTCTGAAGCACAGCAGATGATTGAGAACTTATGGAAAATACGTTATCCTGTGACACCTTCCTGGAAATGAATACAAAATAGGGGAAGGGAGGAGGGCACAGACAGAAAAGATTGTCAAACCTAACATTGGAAAAACAGTGTTAAAAAGAAACTCATTCATATTAAGAGCTGCAATTCTGTGATACACAGAACTACTAAAAAATAAAGTGAAGTTACTGATGAAGGAATTCCCGAGTCAGAAGAGACTGGTTATTACCAACCATCTAGAGTAAAGACAAAAATTTAAAGTAATTGTATAACACACAGGTCATATGGATTGGTGTTAAACAAGAAAAGCAAGAGGCTGGGGCGGGGAGGTGACGTACACATTTATATATCGAAGAACAATTTCACAGACATAGCAATTATACAAATACAAAAAGCATCCACAATCCGTAAGGAAAGATACATGAACTGCTGTAAAGACCATGCAGTTTCCTACAGTGAATAGGCAGGAAGCTGGAAAACACGTGTCTTTAAGGGGGAATAAAAACAGCAAAGTAAAGGCACAACTCATGAACATGAAGAAAAACAGCAGAAAACCCAAATGAGAGCAGCTAAATAAAGTCTGCAAAAGTGGCCTACAAGTCAAGCACAGGAACACTTAACAAACCTGCTTTCTTTTTTACCCTCTCTCTGCTTGTTAGAGACTAGAAAGCAGAAATATGGAACTTAAATCTTGCAGGGAAGCACATATTTCATTACTGAACGAGTGTAAGTTGAGACAAATAAGAAGAGGGAAAACAAAAAAGATTTTGCAGGTAGTATTAAAGAAACAAGTCATTTTGTTTCTTTTGTTTCAAATTCTTTTTTCCCCCTCTGATCAGGTTATCTGCAGCCTTAAAGGCAGCATTCACAGAGTAAGTTCTTGCCACCAATAAAAAGCACGCACAGTATCCTTACGATACCAGCAGAGCCTCAAAAAATAAAAAGCATGACCATTAGCTGAGTCTCTTACTTGATGGAAGAGCTGTGTAACAGAAGACATACTCAACAGAACAGTGGAGGGACTGAACTTTCTAGTAACTGCAAGAAAAGGGAAAACATACAGTAACCTCAACCAAAGATGCCTAAGAAGCAAACACTTCCACCTGCTCATCAAAATAGCAGTGCCTGCTAAAATGAGAAGGAAAACAAAAAAAATCCATACCAAAAGGGTTCCAGCAGCACCATTAACACCAAGGCATTGGGAGTGCTTGAGAAGAGCTAGGGAAACAATCATGAACAGTCATAAACTGATCAAAATCAATGTCACTGTCAAATAACAGATTATCTGGAGTACTTAAGAGGCAACCTAGAGACCAAAGAAATAAGCATTCTGTAGTTTTAAAACTATTTTCACATTATCCAACTCTGACAAATATGTTTTGAGACCAAATAATACTCAACACTAAAGCAGCTAAATACTAAACTTATTTAGAGGAAGAAAGATACATCAACCTCAGTAATTTCACCACCAAACACACTGCTCAAAGTACTTCACACTCCTTCACAAATATACTGTAATGGTACAGATGCTAGGTCCGATGTCCAAGTGACAGTATTAACACCACAGTTCTTTGAACCATAGAAAGATCCTAATGACTCAGACTGTTTAATGATTTCTATTTCTAGAAGTTTAATAGAATTCCCAGCTCTTTAACTACAGAACAACATGCGATATACCCCAAGAGGGTTGCAATAAAGCAAGCGTTTATGAAAACTTCATGAGAAACAAGAAGATGACTGTTGTAACTGGCTGTAAAGCACTAGGTAGAACACAAGAAGAAAAGACTAGAAATATTACCTTATTATATTGGCTAAAACCAAGCAACTAAAACTTGGGACAGAGAAACACATCTAAGACTTCAGAATCAGCTTCTTAATCAGGAGTTGTTTGTGTGCATGTGTGTCCTACTATCCACACTTTGAAAATGTGCAAAGACAGACATATAGAGCCAAACGTTTCAGAAGGATCACTGCTTTTTTAGAAGCATTAAGGTGTTCTACACGGGAAGCGAATACTATGAGCACCCAGAAAAATACCCACCTGCTAAGTCATGACTAGAAATACAAGGGTAGTGGGGGAAAGCAAAACTGAAGATTCAAAGGGCTCTATCTATCTCTGAGAAAGTGTAAGGAGATGTGTAGAAGTATAAAACCTGTGGAGAAAGCAACTCTACTTTTGTTTGATCTAAAAAATCATCAGGTAGTGGCTACAGGCTATTTCAGTAGTTTTCCAGGAGAGCTGTTCCTGAAAGCAGGAGGACTAACTAAACTTCAATTCTGCGACAAGAGCTGTCAAAAGGATTTTCCTGTTCCAAGCAGGTTTGACTTTCTGTGTAACACCTAGTCTCTTAAACAAGAAAAATACATCCTAGCAAAGAATTTTACTTCTGTAAATCCAGTTGATGGGAGAAAACTTTCATACTTAGCACGACCAGAATCTTATGCATCGAGGACATCAGCAAAACTCCACACAACCAAATGCAGAAAAACCTAGAAACAGTGAGAGGCACCCAAGACTGCCAATCCCAGCATAAAGATCAGAAACATCTGAATTAGGACCTGAAAGAGCAAGAGATATTTCTTTCCCCCCCCAAGATGAAAAAACAAAGTACAAGTTTAGTGTCCTATGGTCATTACATACAGACTTTACAAAATAAATTGGTGATGTGCTACAGAGGTAGGCATAAAACAAACACATGAAAGCTAACAAAGAAAAATAAAGCACAACTAAAGAATAGAACTCCATCAATTATTGTCATGAGTTATGGAAAACTGGACAGCTGCACCATGAAACATGAATATATGCGGTTTATTTTGCAGAAGAACTAGCACATTGAAACATTTAGAAAGAATGGCTGGGATCAATTATACTGATATATTAAAAGAAAAGCTAGTCAGAGAAATCACTGCAGGCATCAGAAATAGAGGTAGCATGTGAAAGCCTTGAGACATTTACACTGCTTTACACCATTCACACAAGTAGAAGCAAGTTTAAAACAGCTTATGTATTGTGTACTTCCATTTAGTTTTCTACCAGTAAAACCCAAGCAAACTTATACTTTTGTCCCATCATTTTCAGGGGGAACTTGACAATTTTCATCCATGTGACCTTACATGCCCATTGACACAAAAATTAAAACCATCTATTTTTCACAGACAGTTCATATTTTAAAAAACAAGTTTTTCCTTCCCACAAAACTTAACTTTCAGCAAAAATTAAACTGCCCAAGTTTAAAGAAAGGACTGGAAAACCTTAATTAACACGCTCTATGCTTGTTAAGAGGCCTTTTATTTGGCAGCAGTGGGCAGGAGATGGGCAAGATTAAAAACTATGTATCTGACAGAATTGCATCTCCAGCTACTTTCCTTTTCACTTGTATGCAAGTCTATCTCCTCATACCCAAGTATGCCAATATATACAGAAAAATGCAACAATAATAACAGAGGAAAGTTTGAAGACTCGGAGGCAAATTTTGTAACTGACTGTTTCAAGAGTGAATGTCCTTTTTAGTGAGGGAAAGAAATATAAAGCACATCTGAAATACAGTTAGAAATTCAGATGCAAGAAAACACTTTGGGTCAACTACTGCACAAATTGTTCTGATTTTATACTGAACACCTACTCTAAATTATTTTTAAAAGTAAACAAAATTATTCTGAAAAGGACTCCTCCTTAGAAGTTTTTTTGTTACTGTTGCAGTACATTGGTCAAACAAGTAAAGCTAGTGATTTTGACAGCATCCCCATTTCAAAGCCACAGTGGCCTAGACTGTCACTTGGGCATCATCACTGCTACTTTCTGAAGGGCTGTTTTAAAGATTTACGCAACATACAACTGTGTTCTGTGTTCCTTTACAGGGAAAGGGGGAATAAAAGTGCCCTATACCTGTGAGAGAACACTGGGATTCTAGGACATCCATGCAGCTTTGAAGTGTTCATATGAAATTCTTGCTACCTCTAGATGAATGTCTTGCACTACAGATATCATGGCAATAGATCCCTGTCAGTAACTGCTCCTGTGGACAGCAGGCACAAAGTAAAGCTAGTGCTCCCATCTATTTTGCCAAGTAAATGTGGTGCGTTCATCCCAAGCCACTACTGCCTGCAAGGCAGGCATCAAAAAACTCAGCCCACAAAAAATAATCTGTACTCCTTCCAGACTTGCAGCAAGAGGGGGTGGCCTAGCAGAATAGTTGGGAACACCAGACAATCAGAAAACTGTAAAAAAACAACGGATAAAGGAGATATATATGCACATTTATGAAGAACAGTTCAAGCCTCATGAAAACCTGAGTTAATATCTTAGGAAAAACTGAGTTCAAATCTTCCCTCCCACTGAAGAAACAAATCCACTGCATTGTCATCACATTCAAATTTCCAAAAATAAGCTTCAAAAAACATGGAAAGTATAAAAACATGCCAGAGAATTTAGAAGTTCTCTCATCAGCTTTCTAATTCTTCCTGACTGACTCTAAGGATTTAAACAGCTCCTCACTTTCAATTAGGCCAGACACACACCTCCAGCTTGGTAATAAAATTAAAGCAAATCCCCAATCTTAAAAAAAAAAAAAAAAAGTAGTCTTGTAAGTTATGCTAACTTCAAGTTCTATGTTCAATCCCTTGATATCACCAAATCCCAAGCTTTGCACTGGTGGTGGTAACATGCTTACTCCTCAGACATTCCCATTTCTTCTCCTAAACCCTTGCTAGTGCCTGTCCTACTTCCTTCATTTGAGACATGCAGCACTGTCAGCCTGAAACTAGTGTAGGCCTGTCCCTCCTCACCCCATTGCCTGCTAAAACCACTCTGCATAACAGCTACAAATCAGTTCTTGGTCAAAGTTTTCAGTCATAGATACTGTTCCGTTGCCTGCTAAAAACACTGCATAACAACTACTGACCAATTCTTAGTCAAAGTTTTCAAGCAGTAGACACTACTACTACTACTACTGCATTATTGGAGGAAAAAACAGTAGAAGTTCAAGACCACATTCTTCTCAAGTCTGTCATCTCACAGGAAGCTGTTTTAAAGAATTTTAAAGGTTTTAAATGTAGAATGTAAATGCTTCAAAATAGAATGTAAAATTTATTTATTATCTCTTACCACCAATTTATATTGTGTAGTGCCTACAAAATTTTTCATTAAATTAACAGGGCACAAGAGTGAAATATTTGAGCTCTAAGATAGTAAGAATATATGTAAACTGTGTAACTACATTCTGTATACCACACAACTACATTCTATGTAGCATATAACTACGTCAATAAAGTATTGTTCCGATTTAAATATACCCACAAAATTAAAGCAAAATTATTTTGTGCACTAAGACAAGTGTCACATTCAAAGCAAAAGCTCATGGTTCCACATCATTACACATGCACACATAAAGTAGTCAAATGGTAAGTAGTAAAAAAAAAACCAAAACATAGTAATTAATATGACCAGACAGCCTATATACTTCAGAAAATACATATACTGCGTGAATACTCTTGATTTTTGCCTCTTCCCACTCCCTGATTTGCAATTGCAACTATGCAACCCCCACCCCCACAAGCATCCCTCCGCTAGCAGGACACAAGGGCACGTTCTAATGTGCAATGATAAGAACAACTCCTTATGTCGGTTTCTTCCACAGACCCGAACTATGAAGTGCAGAGACCCCCAGGCCACAAAGGTCTCTCCTCGGCGATGAAGTTTCCCTCATTTCACATTAAAACATTCCTCTTGTAACTCGACCAGCCCCTAAGGGTTTGCCTCCACCTGGACGCTCACCCAGGACGGCGATTTCGGGGACAGCCCCCCAGAAGACCTTCCCCAACCGAAGACAACCCCTCTGGCCGCCAGGCAGGTCTCAGCCCCCGTCGTTGTCCCGCCCCCCCCAGGTCCCAGGACCGGAGCCTCCCGAGGACGGCGGAGGGGGGGGCCGGCGGACCCGCCCGCCCGCTCCCCCCCCCCGGCTCCCC